ATAAAAATGTCATGAAATTAAGGTTTAACAACGATGTTCCAGATACTAAATTTGCTATTAAAAACAGCGGCCATCTTAAGAAAATATTATTTTGAGTCATTTCCCTTTCATTTCTATTTGTTTTGTATGGAAATGTATTGATGTTTGCTATTAAATAGGTTTGTCTTGTGTTTAAATACAAAGCATGCGTTTTTTTATTAAAATTCTGCCCTTTAAACAATTTAATTGCCTGACAATAAACATCATCATATCTTTTTAAAGGTATTCTATCCCATGCATGTTTTATTAACTAGTGTAAGTGTTTTAGCAATGCTTAATCAGGGCAATTTATAAAATTCTAGCGATGTCATTGTAAAAAGAATCTAACCCTTCTCTCTCACTTGACTTGTACAAGTGTTATTATTAGTTTTGTCAACCATAAAAGTTAGCCTATCAAATACAATTAATCAGGCCTATAAAAAAAAAAGAGGTTAATCGCATTAAAATGATCGCACGTGAGCGAAGATAGGCCCTGTGGGCAAATTACAAACATCGCCAGCCCGCCTGCGTTCTTTTGTCAACCAGCAAGAGAAAACTCACAGCACAGTGTGAGCATGCGCTAAATCTAGTCCAAGTACTTTGTTATCCCAAGTTATAATTAGTATTGTAGGTCTAGATTAATATAAAGTTCACATTAAATGTATTTTATTAAGATGTGTGTCTATTTGATTTTTCAAATGTCAGCGCTTACAAATTTATTACCAGAGAGCGAGTATTAAGCCTATGCATTCCAAACATCGACACAGGCCAAGTGTGACACACGACTCGCTCGCTCGCGCTGGTTTGTCAGCGAGAGGCATCGCCCACCACAGCGTGGGCACAGCACACACATGTCCTAGTCCATGCGTACTTGGTTTACTAAGTACTAATTAGTAATGTAAACTTAGACCCAACGCTAAAATCATTTAATTTATCAGGCCTCTAAAATCGTAATAATATTAACATCATTAAGCCTAATAAATGTATCAACGAAGACCAGTGAAAATAATATTATAATTAGCCTAATTAAAATTTATGAAATCAATAAGAATTAAGACAAATTAAGCTATAACAAATTTGAAAACAATTAGGCCTAAATATGCACACAAAGACCAACGCTTACAAGTTACTACTAGATCTAATTCCAGGGATCAACAAAAAAAAAACAAAAAAAAAAAACGGAACGTTGTGGTTTTAGAGTCATAGTATAATCAAAAAGCAAGGTGAAATATCCATAATTAGGCTTAATTAGTCTAATTACGCTAGCAAAATAAGCTGAATAAGAGTGTCAATTTATCCAATGGCCAGAGAAAAGATCGATTAAGTGGCTTAATTGGGCGGAAAAATTATGCCAGGACAACGCATCCATTTAATAATACAACCTTTTTAGTTGCGATAGAGCCACCTAGACAAACGTCTCCCGCCCAATAGCGGTCACGTGGGTCATACAATTTTGACCTTTGATGGTGACTGTTTTAGAGAATTTGTAAAAAAAAAAAGCGCATGCAATATTCTATTTATTTTTCCACAGACTGCTAAATCTAATATTGATGTACTTTCGGTCACCGATCTACATCGTAGTAGCTAATATTTAAAAAGATATACGAATGTTTATCGGCACCAGTTTTTGACCTTTGGTCTTCATTATCCAAAGTAATTTATAGCGTTGCTCTGGCATATTTGGCACTGCCATCTATAATTAGTTTACATCACGTGAAAAAAACGCCATTTTTCACGAGGTAAACATTTTTAAAACTAATTCCAAGAAAGTCACTTGAGCGTATGAGAAAAATGTCCGAAACTAAGCATCCGCTTAGGTAGCCATGATGTTGTTAGCAACGAACCACGCCCACTAGGTTTGTGAGTATTGCTAACTAAATAGTTTGAGTTTTTTCTTATTGTTTGAATGTTCACTATTTTCATTTCAGGTTTTTCTTTTCATCAATTAGTGATTCTATCGTAACTTATGACATTTTTATACTTCTCTTTACCTTAATTAAACCCCAACCTCCGTCATATTTTTGTTGTCAGTGTCACAACAAGTCATGTAAAAAATTACGGTTCGCTCAGCCTTATCTAAGATCTCTAGCCATAATTTTGACAACAATAAATGTTTGTCATCATTTATATATATGCCTACAGGGAGACAAAATATTGAAATTGTATTATTCACCAGCTTCCCTCGTAAAACATCATCTAAAATATTCAGCCACTCCACCCTATAAGTGCGTGTTGTCATTATGGTCGATCACAAGTCTCCACCTGCCAGACACATTTTGGTTATCCTTTGTTGTCAAAATGTCAATATCAAGTACCCAAGTGAGTGTTATGGGGTTGTCCATAAATGATGTCACATATGATTTGCTACGGGAGTGAGTGAAGATTTGTGACGTCAACTCAGGCGGCTCCGCAATTTATGACGTGTCGGTCTCATGAAAGGAGGTGAATGGGGAAAAATACCTAGGTGGTTGATGGAGTACCCCTATAATGCTTTGTTCAATCAAAAGAACGATAAATAAGCATTAGTATACGTAGACCTTGCTTAAAACGAATCTAGAGATCTCTAGACAGATTATTTAGATTCTAGATCTGTTCTGTAGGCCTAGATGTCTAAGCCTAGATCTAGACTCTATATAATTTTAATTATCTAGATCAGTGGTTCCCAACCTTTTTCGAGTGGCGACCCCCTTTTATAAAAATTAAGTGACCCGCGACCCCCATAGAATTAAATAGCCGAAATTAGTATGGAAATTAATTAGCACTAAAATAACATTTTCTAGTAGACTTTCAATATGAACTACTCTTGATAACTGTTTTAATACAATGAGTAAAATTGCATACTATTCACTAAACCAGGGGTCTCCAAACTTTTCAGTCCGAGGGCCGCATTAACTATCAAATTTTAGTTCGGGGGCCAGTTTCTTCCAGGCATGTCTTTGAATTTTCTGGGCAAAGTTCCTCAGCCATCACCAACAAACGATTTTTCCTTGGACAAAAAGATCTCCGCGGGCCGGATGAGAGGACTTCGCGGGCCGCATCCGGCCCGCGGGCCGTAGTTTCATAGTTTGGAGACCCCTGCACTAAACATTCGCGGTTAATTTTTTTTAAAGTATTTTTTTTTGTTAACGCCAACCTATGTCATTATCATTATCTTAATTTTGTTTTTAATCGAAAAATAGTGTTGAAAATCTATTCTCGAAAAGTCAATCAATTTTTTGTTTGGGTATGAATGGTGAATACTACACCAAAATTGAGTGTGCAGTTTTTTATCTTACGCGTAATCATTCTACAAATCAAAGAATTCTTCGTGAATGCTGGCAACATCGAGGGAAGAAGAGAATGGGAATCTGCGTCAATGCAGATTCTTTTTTTTTCAGCTCAGAGAAATAGCGCTGCAGTTCGTTTTCACTTGATTCAAGATGCCCAGAAATTTCTTCTTTCAAAATTTTAATAATCTCACAATTAGATTCATCTACCACACTGCAGAGTTTCTCAAATTTACAATATTTCCTAGATTTATTTTCTTTGCCGATTTTGCAGCTTTGATAAAATGCCCCAAGATAATCATGGAAAGTGATAATATTCGTTAATTTTCCCTGAAGCTTCAGGTTATGCTTATGTTGATGTTCGAACACATCTGCTAGGTATGATACTCTCTCCAACCACTCTGTGTCGTTTTAAGTATACCAAAAGGTCTTGTTTCCTTTGCATTTCCAACAACAATTTGATTTCAGATTTCAATTCAAAAACACAATTTACAACATTTCGTTTGACAGCCAGCGTACTGTAGTGTAGAAGAGCAGAACCTCGTGATCTTTATTCAGGTCATTGCTCAGTTCTTTGAAGGCTCCAGATTGTATATAATTTACCACTTATACCAGCAATGGAGTCTTGATGGCGATTGGTGAGGGTAGTGGTTAGGGAGCGAAATCTTTTCTGCTTTCTGAAAGCCCGATTTTGACCTAAACATAGATGGTGCACCATCCGCACAAATCATTATAGCCGTTTTAACCCATTTTAATCATCCAATTTTTAAAAAAAACTATTAATTTTCTCCATGCTATCTTCACAAAAGAGCAACTCTTCTTTGCTATCATCTCAATGAATATAGTCAAAGACCAGCAACTGCAAACACGAACTCACAGTCTGTTGATTTATCAACTTGAAAAGCAAATAATGATGAAAGCTTAATTTCAATATAAATGTGTTAATAGTGTTATTTAACATCTTCGGACATGTAAGAATTAACTTCACCATCTTCAACATGCAGCGTTTGAGATTTTCTCCTATTGTTTGTTTTCGCTTGGCATTTTCTGTCACGACTTCATGTGATGCTTGCACTAATGCTGTGTTTTCTTGGTGAAAACTTCCTGTTCGATCAAGTCTCTGACGTTTGCAACTAGCTTCATACCGACGAAAGAACTCCATATCTTTTTTGGTGTGTTTCGAATGACTCGTCTCAAATGACGTTTTAGTTTTGAAGATTTCATAAACTCGTGACTGAGAACAACTTTGTACAGTACGCTTTGCTTCTTCTCTATTCCCTTTCCAGTGATATTAGTAAAGCTTAATTTCAAAAATTCTTCTAAATATTTATGTTTTGTTTCAAATTACTAAGGTTTAGTATACCAGTTGGCGACCCCCCAGAAAGCCCTTCAGGGGGGTCGCGACCCCCAGGTTGGGAACCCGTGATCTAGATCTAAAGAAATCTAGACTAGATCTATATCTATAGATCAAGACTATTCTAGACTCTAGATCTATTTATTTATAAGTAGGGTGTTGGGAAATTGCGAGGTGCGACTTTCATCGGGCGCTATTTTGTAACCGTTTCACACAGAAACAAACCCAAATGACCATATTAATTATTATTCTTCTGCCATTCTACTCTAGATCTAGGTCTAGGCTAGTCTAGCTCAAGTCGTTAGTTACGCAGCGAGGTGAAACTACCCTAATCGTTACCCAAGCTGTGGCCACCCCTATTCACCTATCAGGTTGCTTTATTAGCCTTATCTATTGTATGTACAGTGTCCTGCACATATTGTAGAAGCTATTTATAGTTATAAAAAGCTTTGATTGGTTGGTTTTATTCTTCTCATCCGGGACCTAGTGTTTTTCATAGGGGGAACTAGAATCGCCTACAACGTCATACCTCGAAACTTAAAAAAAAAAACTTGTCTTCCAGAAGGAGAAAAACAAAAGAATTTGACCTGGATATATTTAGAAATGGACATGTGTACAGCAGATATTGGTAGTTTCGTATAAAACATTCAAACAAATATTATACGAAGCGATAAACAGGTGATGGCCGCACCAGTGTTTTAACAGCGCGTGGAACTTCACTACCTGCGGAATCGCGGGTAAATACGGAGACACCTTTAGCAAAAAAAAGTTTTGTTTCATCCTTTTTTATTTAGATTATTTTTTTATTTTAAACTAAACAAGCATAAGCTTATAACCATACCCTTTAACACGAGTGTTGTATGTTGTTATTTTTTTTATCCAGTTTTCATTATTATATATAGATAGAAAAATAGATACTAAGATATATATATATATTTAAAAAATCCTAACATCCTTGCTGTACTAACATCCTTGCTGTCATTGCACGCTCTTGGTTTCTCGTTTGCGAGAGGAAAATTACGTCTCAGTTGACAATATTTTTTAAAAAAAATCTAATGTGAGCCGGGGCATTATGAAATTTTTTTTTTGAAAAGTCACAACCTTGATGTACGATCTAATTAAATTAGTGTAAAGAAGAGAAAACACATAGTAAGTATTTGTATTTTAAGTAATACATAGCTAGATCTTACCTCCAGAATAGATGTATCCAAATGATGTAGGCATTTTCTTGTGCTGATATTTATATGGCTAGAAAAAAAATCGTAGGGGCCGGCTATAATACAAAATTTCTATGCAACAATACAAAATATGTTTGCGGTGGCAGCGGATTCGGGCACGGTGATCTTCAAAGATGATAAATCAGACGGCCTCCGTGTTCCACACAAAAGAAAGAAGTTGATGTATCGTCTGCTGTATTTCGGGTAGTTTCGAACAAAGTGGTATTCTAAGTCGACACAAATGATGGGGGGAGTTGACAAGTCTGCATCAAATACCACTGTAAATTGAGTGCTGTTTCGCATTCCAAAATTGACTCAGTTTTCGCTCCCTTCTTGCAGTTTGCCGCTTCGCCATTTCGCTTTTCGCACCATGCAATTTCCCAACACCCTTACAAGTATTTAGGCCTACTATTTAAGAATTTATGATAGATACTAAGATACTCTATCGTTCTAGCATAATCAATTTGGCATGAATATGTTTTTGCATATTATACTAAAATATTAAAGATTGGCCTAATTGAATATTAAACCACATTTAAGGGTTAAATCAATAAAAATGTTCCGAAATTAAAGTTTAACAACAATGTTCCAGACACTAAATTTACTATTTGCGGTTATCTTGTCTTAAGAAAATATTATTTTGATTTATTTCCCTTTAACTTTAACTGTATGGAAATGTTTTGCTGTTTGCTATTAAATACGATTTTCTTGTTTTTAAATACAAAGCATGCGTTTTTAAAAAAAATATTCTGTTAACAGGATGCTATTGGGCACGATCGCGCCTGTTAGTTTTAAGGAGCCAGGGGTCGTACGCCGCACCTATGCGGTATTGTAATTGGGGGGGGGGGCCTCCTGAGAGCGACCCTTCCCGGCGCCCGGGGACAAACTTTTAGATTTGCACCCCCTCAAGATTTCGATTTGCACCCCCCCTCCTCAAACTTTCAATTTGCAGCTGCCTCATCCTTTCAATTTATTTTTCCAACCCATTTTGGCGCCCCTAAGGTCGGCGTACGGGGACATATGTCCCCCCGCCCCCCTCGCTACGCTACTGCCCCTACATTATTATTCCGGTGAGTGATTAATGTACACTCAAGGTGAAAACCTTCTAATATATTTCGTCAAACTTTCTTCTACCCCTGCGGCAACGTGCGGGGGATCGGTACGCTAGTAATTATATAAAAGCTTGTTATTAAAACATCCATAAATTAACTCTATTGTTTATTTCAACAGTCAAATAAACTAACGTTTTATAGTAACACATGTAATGATGTTTTCACATCATCCACAGTACCCATAACTTACAAACAGCTAAACAATTCTGAAATAATTACAAATGCGAAATGGGTATAACCAAAAACTTAAGATGGAATATATTATTTAGCTATGAAATAATGACAGTAAGTATAATAGAATCAATAGGCCCACATAATTAGTAAAATTAGGAATGAATAACTAATTGGGGTATGTAACTAGTGTCCAGTTACAAGTCAATAATTGAAACTTCATTAAGATTTCTGGGAGTAGCTTCCTTGTTTACTGACATAATGATAATGTTCAAAGTTTCAGCTTATAAGGTGAGAGAAACTCACAATATTTTATTCTAAGAACTTTTCTGTTGTAAATCAAGGAAGAGATACTATTCCAAAATAAATATCACTTTTGGTATTTGCAGACATGCCTACCGTCCCGCCAAAATCGGAACCGTCCCGCTTTTTTACCTAAAAAAGTAATTTGTTCCGTCATTCCGAAATTGACTCAGTTGGTTTCGATTTTTTTTGAAAAAAAAAATTTAATAAAGAAAGGTAATCAAGTAAATTGAAAAAAATGTCAGGAAAAAGCGATTATCTCCCTTTGGCATACATTTCTGTTTCCTAGTTTACTTACAATATTTACCAGTATCATCTAATATTAGATCTAGATCTAGTTAGTAGTATTTCTACTACTAGTAGTTAGGGGAAAAGGGGGGGGGGTGTTAGTGTTTTAAAGCAAATATTTTCAGTGGCAGCATTGGTACTGTCGAATTCACAAATTATGAATTACTGAAAAGTAGAAAATAAAACAACTAAATAGTGGCTTATGATTCGCTTCGGGTCGGCTCGTATTTTCTATTTCGTTATAGGGAGCGGTAGATGGTTTAAATTATTTAAAACTGATAAGAAATATCACTTCTCTTTGTACCCAAGCTAGTCTCTAAATAAATGCCTAAAAATAACTTTTTTTTCTTTTTTTCAGCATTTGTTCATACTGACAGAGGATTGCAACATTCTTGGAGTTGTTAAAATGTTATAGCTCAGTCTAATTTGTATACAATGGCTACAAGTTGTGAAAAGCTTTGTGGGCTTGACTTTTCATCACAGACTGAACTGGTTAGCAGTAATGTTTTGTGGACATGTCTTTATGTGATAGACAAGTCTTCAGAATTTAAGAATTTGGCATACAGGGTAATTTTTATTATACTTTTGACTAGGTAATTTTAACCACTTCAAAATGTTTTAAACAAAATTTAAAAATCATGTTTTAGAAATGTTTGGTACTGACCACCAAAGTTTTGATTTGAAAATAATTATGTGCATGTATCTAGCATTATTTTTAAACCACAATATCTGGCAAGAATAAAAGTTAATTTTTTAATTGCCGAATTCAAACCATAAAAATTTTAACAAGCTGAGTAATAGGGTCAGCGAGGTTCGGTCCGTAGAGCCCATGGTTACTCAACAGAAAAGTCCCGAGTTCAAAGTCCCGGGCAGATGAGGCTCAAAAGCTGGGAACAGCAACCCATTTAGGATAGAAAACTCCAAAATCAAATATGCTGCCTTTCTGTTCTTGGTTGGGCAAAAGCTATGATTATGTAAGCAAATCCAGAAAGAAATTAGTCACATTAATGGCCCATAAAAAGTTGACACCTTATTCTTGTGTTGGAAAAATCCCTTTTAACATTACAATTAAAAACAGAAGAAAAGCTAAGGAATTCATAATTAATAATAGGAAGTATTTTTTAGGGAAGGGGCAGGGGCGGATTAAGGCTGAGTGGGGCCCCCGGCTGAAATTTTTTGAGGGCCCCATATATATATATATGTGTGTGTGAAATGAAACGAAAAACAATAAGGAAACAAATGCTAATGAAAACACCCTAGTATTAAAAAATAGGACTTAAAAAAAGACAACTGATGGGGATTTAGCAAAATAATTTATACACGTTACCTTTTGTATTAGGTAGCTCTCAGTAATATTTAAGCCACTGAAGTTTGGATATACGCATAAACATGCGAAAAATAAACAAATCTAAATTCACCAGCCGGGGCGCCGGTGGAACTGCCTGATTCAACTTAGTAAATAACTATAATACCCCCAACTTATCCATAAAATAAACAAAAGGCAGTATTTGAAGTATCCGTGTTTTAACTACCACAGTGCATTTGATCAATCCATGCTAAATATAATGTTCTAGCAATAATGTCCTCATGCACGTCCACATAATTTGCATTCACATTTTTTAATTAGCTTAAGTTGAATTTCTTTTTAAATTACCTCCCCTGGCAAAATTATACAAGGATTTGATTTAGTTTTTTTTACCCTATTGTTATTAAAATGTATCTAATTTATCTAGTAATCTAAGCGAAAGTATTATTTGACATTGATCCGTTTAATATGTTTTAGCATTGTGCGTGTATTTAATACTTTCTTCATGTTATGCAAAAGTGTAAAAACTGGCAACTATACAAAAAATTTAAGTAGTTATATAAATAAACCCTACTCTATTACTTATAATAAGATAATGTGATGCAATGTAAAAGCACTGCGTGGTGCAAAGGTTACTTTTATGGTTCCAAAATCTATAGCGAAGACTTAAGTGTGTGCAAGGTTTTTGAAAAGTGTGATGCAAACATAAAAAACTTTAGTTTTTACAGTGAAAACCAACAATTAGGCGGTAAATTTAGGGGCCCCCAAAAACCGGGGGCCCCTGGCCGCAGCCCTTTCAGCACCCCCTTAATCAGCCACTGGTGAGGGGCAGTGATTTTTACATAGCTCAAAATTATATTTGTAAAGGTAGGCTCTCCAAAGTAAACATTACACGATACCAAATTTTCATACCTAGGTGTCTTTAAAGGTTTACAATGTAGGTTGTTTTTACAAGCTTTTATTTA